CAGTAAGAGGCTAGAGCTAATGGGCCAAGCAGTGTTTAAAAGAATACAGTTTGTGTGTTGTTATTTCAGGCATAAGCTAGCCAGGTGACCGAGCAGCAGGAACACAGCCCACCCATGCTCCTTCTACACTTCTGGCTAATGAGGTAGGATGAATTAACTGTCCACATCTGTAATCAAAGTGGTCCTGCTAGGATAAAGAAAATGAGCCAATAGGAAATGGAAAACTAGGCAGTGTTGTTGAGCGGCTGAATGAAGATTTGTCTCTAAGTGAGACGCTTGGCCAACGTGCACAGGTGGGTTCTTAGAATGCTCAGTCTCTGCCACTGCTCTGGTCATCAGCTCTGTTTTTCATAACTATTGACAAAAGCTAATCCATGCCCTGTGCCGTGCAGATCGATGCTCTGTAGGAAACATCTGGGCTTCTCTTGCTTGATTTCCTGAAAACCAACCTTCCTAACTCTCACCTCTCATTAAAGAAGCTTCTTTTTGCAACAGAAGAGAGCCATTATAGGAAGCCACAACTGCTCAAAATACAGGGGAAAGAGACTATGGATGTTCAACCCAAACTGATACATCTGCAATACAACCCCTACACCTAAGACTCAGGGAACATCATGGAATAGGGGATAGAAAGATTGCAAAAAGCCAGAGGCTCAGGATGTCTGCTGTGAGAAAGTGTCTTCTATATATGATAAGAAGAATGTATCTGTGAAATCTCAGAATGATTGTAACCTAAACAGGACCTACACAATGACAACACAAGCTGACATTCCAATGAGGATGGGAGGAGAATCTCATGGGTCCTACCCCTAGATGAAGAGCTACAGACAATAAGCTAAGAGAGAGACACAGTCTTCTCCAGGGAAGAACTCCCTGGTGGAGTGAGTGTTCAGCTCTAAAACCATACATGCACAAAACCACACTAAATGGACTGTGTGTGTGTGTGTGTGTGTGTGTGTGTAAAGCAATAAGTAAAGAGGGGGTCATGAATTTGAGAGGGAGTACAGGGATATGGGAAGAGTTGGAAGGGGAGAAAAACGGTGTGAAAATGATGCAAATATAATACTTATGTATAAAACTCTCAAGATAGGTAGGTAGGTATATAGATGATAGATAGATAGATAGATAGATAGATAGATAGATAGATAGATAGATGATAGATGGATAAGGGCTCTGTCCATGTCCTTGTGGCATGACCTCTCTTCAAACCCAGAGCTCACTGATTCATCTCCACCTCCCCAATGTGGGGATTGTAAGTACACGCCACCATGGGTTCATGGGTCCTCATGCTGATGAGATAAGAAGTCGATCATGAGCCACCTCCCTTTTCTTTACTTTTTAAAGAGTGAAATGACCACGTGCAATAGATACAACAATGTTGCTTTACGGAAAGAACAGAAGCACTTTATTAACTGTTAGGAAATGCTGCTTTCTCATTCCTACAACCCCATCAAGTAGGTGTTTGGAATCTCCTAACACCCTAACATCCTACAACCCGACTACTATGGACCTAGCCAAACCCTGGTGCAAAATTGCCACTAACGAAAGAATAGATTCTCATTTCACACACCAGTCCCAAAGAGAACAAGAAGAAATCTTCAACCACAGAAGAAAGCTCTTCAGCATGAAAGAGCTGCGGACTGCTGTTACAGATGGAAGATTAGGCTCCTGAGTGATCTTTAGCCCAGAAATAAAGGGCCTCTCACTCTTGGAAGTGCTTTTCATGAAATTGGCATTGCACAGTATCAATCTCCGGTTTGTCTTCTTTCCAATATGTTCCATCAGCGAAGCCCTTTCATCACTAGGTGAACTTTGTCTATAGGAGATTGATTTCCTCAGGCTTGTGACACAGCTGTGTCTTGTGAAAGATCACGGTTTCAGTGCAAGAAGGAAATAGTTGGGACACACAGCTCTCAATCCTCAGCCTGGCTAGGGCCTCGCTTCCTATGCACTTGGTTGCTGTGCTCCTATGCACAGCAAGCCTGCTGTGTGGGTTGGTTTTCCGTCAAGTTGATGCAAGCTAGAGTCATTTGAAAAGAGCGACTCTCAATTGAGGAAAACCGTCCATGATTTTTGCCTGTAGGAAAATCCATAGTGCATTCTCTTGATTAATGATTCATATGGATAGTTTGGCTCATTGTGGGCAGTAAGCAGCACTCCTCTTCCATGACCTCTGCCTCAGTTCCTGCATCCAGGCACCTGCCTTGAGTTCCTGGGCTGACTCCCTCAGTGATGGTGTTATCTGTCACCTGACAGTTACGAGACAAATCCTTTCCTCCCAAAGTTGCTTTTGGTTATGCTATTTATCACAGCAATAGAAACCTGAAGCCATTGCTGAACAAGGTCAGGTATGGTACAAGGTACCAGGGAAAACGAGACAATGGCTTCTTTTCTCATTACATTTTTTTTTGTTATTTTATATTATTTTGTTTCCTTGAGACATGCTAACCTCAAACTTGAGATGTTCCCATTCTACCCCTCCCATTGTCAGGATTACAGGTGTGCACCGCCCCACCATGCCTGGTTTCTTGCTACACCTTTGAAAGCTTTGCAGATAGGATCTGAGCAAGTAGGAGAGGAATTCAAGCAAAGAAATGTAAATTACAACAGTAACAAATTTACTTTTCCACCCATAGGGTTGATGAAGCTTTCTTTTGGGAGGTTATATTGAATGTTTTTCTCATTACTGTGACACACGCATTTTGTTTCATAGTTTGAGGACTGTCTTAGTTAGGGTTTTATTACTGGGAAGGGATACCATGACCATGGCAACTCTCATAAAGTTCAGAGGTATAGTCCATTATCAATAAGGCAGGAAGCATGGTGGCATGCAGGCAGACATGGTGCTGGAGCTGAACGTTCTGCATCTGGATCCACAGGCAGCAGGAAGAGACAGTGAGCCACTACCCTGGCCTGAGCTTCTGAGACCTTAGTGCCCACCCCTAGAGGCACACTCCCTACAAGAAGGCCATACCTATTCCAACAAGGTCACATGTCCTAATAGTGACACTCCCTAGAGGCCTATGGGGGCCATATTTATCCATATCACTACAAGGGCTTAGTTTATAGTGGTAGGGGGTGCCTAGCAACAGAAAATTAGGGCAGCAGGTCGCATTGCAGCCACAATCAAGATGCAGAGAGAGACGAATGCTGGTGACCCACTGGCATCTACTTTCTACTCGGTCTGGAACCTCAACGGGTGTGTTTCCATTGTAGTTTAAGCAGATGAGATCTCTTCTCATAACCTTCAATCGCTTCCTCAAATCATCTCTTTTTCAGTAACTTGACTACTAGTTCTTTGACTATCACCTAGGTAGAACGTGGCCTCTAAATGTGGTGGCTCATTGAGAACATCAGGCAGGGCTGAATGGACCCATCTGTAGTGGTTTGAATGAGAATGGCCCCCGTGGGTGCATGTATTTGTATGCTTAGTCCCCAACTGATGATATGTTTAGGAAGGATTGGGAGGTTCGGCCTTGTTTGAGGAGGTGTGTCCCTGGGGGTGGTCTTGGAGGGCCACACAGACAAGCCCTCAGGCAGAAGTGCCTGAGTGTTAAAGGGTCCCCCATGTGATCCACGTGCACGCATGTGTGGTTACATCCACGTGTGACTTGTGACTAAGCCCTTGCACACATATGTGAGCCTGTCATCTGCGTATGACGTAGTCATGCCAATTCCCTGTGTTCATGCATTAGGTAGCTTTTAAAAACCTAGATGCACCCCCATCTTTCTCTCTCTCTCTCTCTCTCTCTCTCTCTCTCTCTCTCTCTCTCTCTCTCTCTGCACACTGACTTCCCCAGGCCTGTACACACCCCCTCTAATAAACTCCTAAGTGGGTTTGTTGCCTGTTCCGTGTTTCCTTTTCACTCACCCCAGGTAATTTCACAGATTTATTGAGTTCATTTTATTTTTAATCATATATGTATGGGGGGGGGCCCAAAAAAGCTGTGTGCATTTGAGTGCCGGTTCCTGAAGAAGCCAGAAGAAAGCATCAGACCCTCTGGTGCTGTAGTTACAGGCGGTTGTGAACCGCCTGACTGGTGTGCTGGAAAAAGAACTCAGGTCCTCTGTCAGAACAGTATATGTTCTTCAACCACTGAGCCATCTCTCTAGCTCCCAACACAAATTTATTACCTTACGGCTCTGAAGTCAGAAGTCTAAAATAGCCTTACTAGGTTAAATCGATGTTGACAGAACTATGCTCCCTTTGAAGCTAATCCCTAGGGACAAGCTGTTTCCTTGCCTTTCCTCGCTTCTAGAAGCCATCTGTACATCTCCCATCATCACCCCTCTCCCTCCCGTTTGCTCCAACCCAAACTTCTGTTCCGGCTTTGCTTGCTCCAACTCTGCCCATCTTCCTTCCCCACATGAGGGCCCTGTGATGCCTCGGGCTTAGGCAGGTGAACAAGGTATCTTCCCACCTCAAACCAACTTAATCGTGTCTGCAAAGCTCCTTGTGCCCTGTCAGGTAACACAGACACAGGTTTTGGGGGGAGATCAGGACACACCTCTCTTTGGAGAAGGGTTGTCCTAGAGAAACCCACAAGGCAAAACAAAACATCAAAGTCTTTCACTTTATAGACTGAATAGGCAACATAGGGGAACACCCAGCTCCCCTAGAGCTAGAGTGACAGCTATTCTGAGGAGCCTTGAGATGGACCCACAGAACCAAAATCTAGCCCTCTGAGAATGGGGTACCAGTGGCTGGTGCTTCTGGGGGGAGGGGTACAGAGAGGCAGGTGTGCCAAAATGCAAAGGAGCTGCAGCCAGTTACATCTAGAAAATCATGATCCATGGAGGGAAGAAAGGAGGCTTTTGACGCTGATTGGAAGAGACAGGAAGCCCCAGGAAATCACAGCAAGGGACAAGTGTCTCTCTCCTTCTCACCTACCACATCTCTATAGTGCTTCTCACTGGCACAGCCTAGCAGGGAACCAGTTGGGGAAAGAAATGCATGGAACTATCCCATTTTCAAGCAGAGGACAGAGGTGAGTCTGTGGAATGCATCATTTCAGATCCTCTGCAAAGGAGACTACAGCTTCAGGTGAAACTGCTGATAAATTTCACCAGATGCTTAAGAATGAAATCATGTTTCTTATACCTAAACATTCTCAGAGAGTAGAAAGAGTGGGAACACCTCCCAGCTTTCTTTGGAGGCCTCAGTTTACCCTGATAGCAAAAGCTAACAAAACCATTGCAAAAAAAGAAAGTTATAGGCCAATATAGAATAGTGTCTATCAGTTCCTTTTGGGGGTGCGATGAAATGCCTGGTGGAGACACTGGAAGGGAGTAAGGGTGTTTTGAGCTCACAGTTTGAGAGCGCACAGATCATCATGTTAATACGGCGTGGCAGAAAGCTGTGGCCGCAGTAGAACATGATGGAGGCCTATTCTTCAGCTAGGGACCAAGTTCTCAAGTTCCCGAGCCTATGGGGGTCTTTGCACAATCAAATTACAACCATGTTTTTACCTTAAGTCAACTTTACTGTAAAGTTATTCTTACAAAGCAATGCTTTAAAAAAGGTGAATATGCTGTGTTGAAATTGGCCTACTTCAAGATGCAAGAATGGTTTAATATTTGAAGAATAAGAAAATCCTTCTCTGTGTAATATATGATGTGTGTATATGTATTTATATGTATGTATATGTGTGTGGGGTGCATGTATGCTGTGTTGCACACGTGGTGATCAGAGGACAGCCTCAGACATTGGTCCTCGCCTTTTACCTTCTTGTTGGCTGTTGTGGAAGCCATGATACCTGGCCAGAAGCTTCTGGGATTTCCTAGTTCTGCCACTCCGTGGGAGTTCTGGGATTACAGATGCCCAAGAGTGCACCTGGCTTTTGTTGGGTTCTAGACACAGATTTAATCCATGTCTTTATGTCTGCTTAGTCTTTTACCCACTGAGCCATCTTTCTAGCTACCCACTAAATTTTCGAAGACTCCCAAAATGTAACTGAATATCGCAGGCTGAGTCTAATGAAGGCTCACCCTCTACACCTTCCCTCTCAGAGATTGCTGACATGGGGCTCCTCTTACAACACAGGAAAACTGAAAATAACTAGTTTTGTAATGGAAGAAGTCCCCAGTGGCTCAATTTCTCCATCCCTCCTCTACCCCCAAATAATTGACACTAAGATTTCACTCACTTTTGTCTGTTCTTGCCCAAGACTGTGAGTGGAGGGGATAGTCTGACTTACTTGAACTCTTGTTTCTTGATAATGGTGTTGAAGAGATTCACACTGTGCCAAGACACGAGGAACCATTGAAGTCCTGTCTGGTGTCTGCCAGCATCGGTCTTTATACTGGAAAGCTTACACAGCGAGATCCCAACCTCTACGGCCGGAAAGCCCCCATGCTTCGCCAGCCTACGGTTTGGGGTCTGCTTGAGGCCCTAACTGTCACTCACTACCTCACTGTCAGAATCCTCATTCATTATTGAACCAGACTCTGGAGGTGTAAGAACATCTGAATTTTAGCCTGAGCTAAAATTAAACTAAATATGATAGCATGTTTAATTCAAACCATCCATGAATTTTTCATGGACTGGAGTATGATGAATGAAGAAACCCAGTGTGGATGCCTTCATTTTAACCACGGTCTCCACTTCACATAAAAAAATGGATTTTTTTTTTCTGGTGAGTGTTTCCATTTCAGTTCTTTTTGTTTTCTCCTGATCTCCACTTGTCAGTTCTTCCCTTAGAAGTTTCTCTGCCTTCTTTTCTCTTTTATTCATAGCTTAGTCTGGATGCCTAGGGACATCTGCGCACTTGGTACTTGCCGTAGAGCTTAAAACCCGGTTCCAGTACTGTAATTTCTTTTTGCATCAGTGGTACCATCTGTAAACTGGGCTCATAATGACTGTGGAAAGAACAGAACATACAAAGCACACAATATACACTCTGGCCACAGAAGGATTCAGCATCAGCTCACTGTTAGTAACAGCCCGTTGTCCAAACAGGTTCTTCTTTTTCCCTCCCTCCCTCCCTCCCTCCCTCCCTCCCTCCTTCTTTCTTTCTTTCTTTCTTTCTTTCTTTCTTTCTTTCTTTCTTTCTTTCTTTCTTTTTTGGTTGTTTTTTTGAGACAGGGTTTCTCTGTATAGTACTGGCCATCCTGGAACTCACTCTATAGACCAGGCTGGTCTCAGAATCACAGAGATCCACCTGCCTCTGCCTCGTGGGCAATTATTTCTTAATGATCTCTCTGTGACTCAAGAAAATGCATAGTAGACTTGTGAGGTGATACCTAGAGGAATAGCTGGTTTATGCCAGAGATGAGTTGACTGGAAGCTATCATCACCACCCACCCCTGGCTTAGCACCATGCAGCTCTTACATAGCACGGTCCTGTCTACTTCCCAAGAGTGACCATGTGTCAAAGTGTGTGTCAGTCAATCACACGTTCATGGAGATTCAGCGCCAATACTTAACAGTTCCCCTCTCTGTCTGTTTATTCTATCTATCTATCTATCTATCTATCTATCTATCTATCTATTATCTAATCTATTTTTGTAACACTGGGGATAGAGCCCAGGCCCTCAGCTATTACAGACAAGTACTATACTACTGTGTTACACATTCAGCATTGGGGAAGGCTGCTTGCTCATTCCTAGCTGCCCTCACTTGAAATAATCACTCAGAAACTATATTATTTAAATCACGGCTTGGCCAATCACTTAAGCATATTCCTAACTAGCTCTTATATCTTTGGTTAACCCATTTCTATTATTTTATATTTTACCACGAGGCTCGTGGCCTACTGGCAAGGTTCCGGCTGATGGCTCCATGGCTTCTCTCTGATTCCATCTTCTTCCTCCCCCCAGCATTCAGTTTAGTTTCCCCCCACCTATCTCTAGTCTGCCCTATCACAGGCCAAGGCAGATTCTTTATTCATTAACCAATAAAAGCAACACATATACAGAAGGACTTCCCACACCAATCCAGTCCCCATTTTTAAAAGACTGTAACTTCCTTTTCCCCTTCCTGTAGTTTGAGGATCTAGATACATTGTCAGAATCAAACAACCAGTGACAAAGATGTGTTGAGATTCCAACTATTCGGAGCCCCATTCCAGACTGTGTGGAGGCCACAGTGTTACTGTTTGTCCTACCTAATCCACTTTTCAGGGCCTTGCTTTCCTGACCAATACCCAACCACATTCTCTGCCACCATCTCATACCAGTAGGGTTAGAGAACCCAGCCCAGGTCTAACCATGACAGCTACACTGGTGTCTTTACTTCTGAGGATTTATTTAGTAACCAACCTGTCCACACACACCCTGTGAGGTTGAACCAATCTACTACGTCAACTCTTGGAATAGGAAGACAGTCCTCTGGGTCCTGGTCCTGACCTCTGAAGATTGTCTGCACTCCCTGTTCCCAGGCCTTGCCAACAGAGTCCCAAGGTTCTTTTCCTATCTGCTTATGGAATCTCCAGAATATACTATCCACACAGGGTCCATTTTCCCTCTCATTTCATCAGCTGTCTTGTCACAGCCCATATTTTGTGTCTAAGTAGCCTTGGTTGCAACAACCCTTAGGATTGCAATCTTCTTGTGGTGTTTCATCTGTGACATTAGCTAAATCATTTCAGCTGTGACATTAGCTAAATCATTTCAGCTGTGACATTAGCTAAATCATTTCATCTGTGACATTAGCTAAATCATTTCTGAGTTACACTGGGCATTAAATTATATGACATTGTCATGCTGTAAAACTCTATGAAGTAGGGCTAAGGTATCTTATCTGTGACATCACTCTTCTGAGGGGGTAAGCGTGATTATCAGGGTGACTTCACTCAGTGTTTAGTAAGTCTGTCTGTCCTCCAGGAAGAGATTTTAAACAGTTTCCTTCCCACAGGTAAAGTGCTCCAGTCTTTATTTCTAATTCACACCCTTGTGCTATTGTGAATCACCTTTCTATTGATATAAGCTACGCTATGTTAGTCACGTTCTTTTTACTTTAAAATACACTTTTGGACCAGGCAGTGGTGGCGCACGCCTTCAAGCCCAGCACACCTTCAAGAGGCAGGCGGATCGCTGAGAGTTCAATGCCAGTCTGGTCTACAAAGTGAGTTCCAGGACAGGTTCCAAAGCAATGGAGAAATCTTGTCTTGAAAGATGAAAAAACAAACAAACAAACAAATAAAATACCTCAAAACAAACAAATAAATAAACAAAATGCACCTTTGGGGGCAGGGGAGATAGCTCAGTGGGGAAAGTGCTTGCTGTCTGAGCATGAGGATCGTGATTTGGATTCCCAGCACACATGTAAAACCAGGCAGGCTTGGTGGCTCACCTGTAATTCCGCCCTTGTGAAGCAGGACAGGGGACCCCGGGGCACACTGGCTAGCTAGACTAACTGAATGTGTGAGTTCCAGTGAGAGATCCTGCTTCAATATTTAAGGTAAAGAGGGAAGAGGACAGCCAGCATCAACCCCAGGCCTTCACCTGTTTTCACACACACGCAAGCATCCATGCACATGCAAACACACACATATACACTCATACCACATACACACATGCAAGAGTAAATATGTAAACAAAATTTCCTGGGCACACTACCTATACATATACAAAGATAAATACACAAACAAAAACTACCCAGGTATTATAGTGCATACCTTTGATCCCAGCAGGAGAATCTCTGAATTTGAAGCCAGCCTGGTTCACATAGTGAGTTTCAGGACAGATGGAGTTACAAAGAGAGGCCCCACCTCTAAATAAATAAATAAGTAAATAAATAATCAATTGAATTAAAAATTTAATTCTCCTTTGCAAAGTCCCCTCAGCCACTGGCTTGAAAGGCGTGGTGATTTTCTTCGGTATGAAATTACTTGGAAACCAGAAAATGATGAAGATATTTTAGAAATAGAAATGTCACCTTGTGCTGTCATGGTCCTTTGAAGCCCCTGAATTTCAGCAGTTCCAGTGCGCTGTGCTTTCTGTCTCTCGGCTTATGGGAGGGTTGCTAGATGATGAGCTTCCCGGTGTTTCTCATGCTTGCTTCCTGCATTTTTTTTCTTTTCTTTTCTTTTTTTTTTATTGAGAAAAGAAAAAGAAAAAAGTTTCCGCCTCCTCCCAGCCTCCCATTTCCCTCCCCCTCCTCCCACCCTTCTCCCCCTCCTCCCACTCCTTTTCCCCTCCCCCCATTCCTCTCCCCCTCCCTCGTTTTGATCCTACTTCATGTTCCGGCTTGGTGGGAGCCTAGCCAGTTTGGATGTTCACCTTCCTAGACCTGGACGGAGGGGGGAGGACCTTGGACTTTCCACAGGGCAGGGAACCCTGACTGCTTCCTGCATTTTAAAGAATTTGTTTCTGTGGGTGCGGATGAGTTGCCACCTGTGACCATGAGCTCTGATTTAGGTCTCGGAAGAAAGCTTCATAACCTCAGGGATGCATTCATCCAACAGTGAGCTTCTGGGCTCCTCATCTGTGCATACAGTTTTAGGAGGTGGGGGAGGACAGGGAGAGAAGGAGGGAGAGGGAAATACAGAGAGAAAGGAAGGAGGGAGAGATTATATTTGGGGGGGGGGTCTTTACAGCAAAAAACATCTATATGAAATGAAGTCATTTCGTAAATACGGGCAAATTGGTTGGTAGAAAAATATGAATCATTCCTGGGACTTTTTTTTTTTATCCATCTGACTCACTGTGCTCTCTTCTTTTCCTGGAAACAGGCCAGTGAGTTTCTCAGTCCCTGCTGCCTCTGGCTGGGGCCATCTGACTCACCCTCAGCAGCCACCGAGTCAGATGCCAAGTGGGAGTGGCACTGTCACTTGGGGGCCAAGGGAGCCCTCTTCCCCTCCCCCTCCCTCTGCTCTCTGGGTGACATTCTGATGATCTGTACACCACTCATCAGTGCCGTAAGTCAGCTCTGGGCCGAGTCTCTTACACAGAAGGCCAACGCTCACACCTGCTCCAAACAGCCAAGGAGATTTCTTGTATTATGTGATGCAGCTCTCAACAGACCCCAACTCCGGTTCTTTAAATCCAAGACTATGGCACCTCTGGGATCTTTGCTGTGACACACAGTTGCAGCTAATGCTTCACAGCCAACTCACAATGTTCTTAATCATCTTCTCTCACAAGTGACATCATACAGCTGAGACAGCTGAGATCTTCTCGACAGGATAAGAAAGGAGGCTGGGGGGGCAGCAATACTATCCTTTCAATCTCTCCCTTTCCCCCTCCCCCTTCCCTCTCCCTCCCTTCCCCCCCCCCCTCTCTCTCTCTCTCTCTCTCTCTCTCTCTCTCTCTATGCATTTCATGAGTATAAAGAACGCCTCCATGATTCAGTCTCAGAAAACCAAACCAAGTGTTTCTACCTCGCTTTCAAGTCTTTCTCATCCTTTAAAATAATCAGATCTTTCACAATCACATGGTTATCCAATTTCCTTTGCGGTGTCTAAGCAACACTTTACGTAACCTAATTCACTGGGCCCCAGAACTCAAGGTTCTTCCTCGGCTACTGATAGCGCCCACAATCTTCCTATTTCGTCCATGTAACCTGTGCCTCTTCTGTTTCAACATTCTTCTTGTTTATTCTGTGTGTCTTTTAAGATTTATTTTGAATTTATGTGTATGGGCACTTCATGCATGCCTGGGTGCCTACAGGTCAGAAGAGGGTGTCGGGTCCCATCCAGTTACAGATGGTTATGAACCTCCGTGTGGGTCCTGGGAACCAAACCCAGGTCCTCTGACTTGAGAGTGTGGGTTTCCTACATCATTTTTTTCCAGCCCACTGCACCTTCACAACCATTTGCGTATCTTTACTGTGAACAGTCTCTTTCACTGTTCCCTGAAAGTTTATCTCAAATCTTTTCCTCTGGATCTGTCCCTTTCTTAAGAGAAAGGACTTAAGTTGTTAACTACTCCTGCAACAGTGTAGCCTAACGGAAATCTAGTCATTTCTTGAATAGAGTTAATGAGATGTCTTAGAGCACTTGGGCTAAAGAGACAAAGATCAGGATGAATTTGTAAATGTGTAAAAATGAAACTACGGGACACTGGCGACTGATTTAAAAGCCAGAAATAAGGAAGGTCGTATGATCACACTTTTAGGGGAATTTGAGAGATAGAATACCATAACAGAAGTAAAGAATGAGGAGGAAAGCTACTTGGGGGGGGATGATTAAGTTTGGATATTTTGAACTTTGAATGATAATAATACATAAAGAAGTGTACACTGGAGGCCTTGGCCAAAATGCTGAGGGTGAGTGGGAAGAGGAGATGTAGGGGTCCGAACAGGAGTATTGATAGAGACAATCTAGAGAGTCACGAGAGAAGACTAGAGGGCTGGGACTGTCGTGTAGCGGTGCTCATAGTCGGGGAACACGGTTTGGAAAACATATCAAGTGGGAAGTGCAGCCCACAGGAGTGAGAGCGGAGAAAGAAGGCTCATACTTAGTGTGGGTCACAAGGTGCCTATTACTACTTCGTCTAGTTTAAAAATTCAAGGCACAAAAGAGTGGCACCGGTCACGTTTGTTTTTAATATAAGCACGCTCAACAGCCGTTTCATTGTTCAGAGCTGTATCTCATGGCCATTGGCTGTGTGGAGAATCAACATGTAGGCTTTGCTATATCTTCTTCACTGGGCATGGGCAAAAAAAGGGGGTTGAGTTTAGTGTCAGATATTTTGCTTATCTCTGAACCCCACAGACTCCCCAAAGAGCAGAAATCTCTTATACAATCATCAGAGTAAATAACAGAGAGTCTCTGAAAGTTAAGTGTATCCGAATATAGCATTGTAATAAGAATATGTGTGGCAGAATAAGTCATGTGCATATCAAAGATGCCAAGGCAAAGCCTAAGATCTTAAAGGCAAAACAAGAAAGATGGCGTAGGTTGTTTTGAGCCATCTTTGACATGAGGATCACTAATAAGGGCTGTGTCAGACCGAGGTTAAACAGGCAGGTGTTGGGCAGGTGTCCTATGGGAGTGTCTTCTGTAGGTGCAAGGTCTCAATGGCCATTGTGTGATGTCGTAGTTCAAGCAAAGCCTTTTACGATAGTTTTGGATGCCAGAAATATCTTCCTGAACTCACCGTCTTTATTCGTTACTGTTAGGCTAGGGATGGACACAAATGATGTCATAGTCCTTCTATTTCCATAGTTCCAGCACATTCATTCAATCTCCATTCCCTACAGCAACCCTGAAATATAGTACTAGATACCCTTCTGTAACAAGTGAAGAAAGTTAGAATCAGTATCAAAGAATATTGAGGGAAGATATACCCCTGGGAGATAATAGAGCCTGGCTCCAATTCCGATCAAGTTGGAGCCAGGTTCTTCTTCCCTCCAGTTGCGTCACATCACAGTGTTCAGGTCATGGGGACACAGGAAAGAAGAACATTACTCATCGCTATATTTTGGTCATTAAAAAAAAAATGAAACAGAACACACGTAAGAAAAACGTGTGTGAGTATAGCTTCACAAATTTTCCAGCTCACTTGGATTAAGGAAGAAAACATTACAGCATCCCAGATACCCCTTCATGTCCCCTCCAGCCTGTTTGCACTCTTCCACCTCTGACGTCATAGTTCAGTTTTTGCCTGTTTTCCTAAAACTTCATATAAATGGAAATATACACGTTATACAGTACTCAGTCTACTGGCTTGACTTTTCCTAGGATCCAGATGGAAAGTATATCTTAAGAATGGGGTAGAAGTTCAGTTATAAACTGAGTTAAAAGCCAAGTCCAGATCTAAGTAGAATCAAAGGTTATAACTTAATATTCCAAGTCCCACTGGCTAAGATCATCTTGGACCATGAACAATTGATCATGGCCTTTGTGAGTCTCTTTTAAGAATTAAAATTAAAATACTCATTTAAGAATCCATAAGATAGTCTGTCTATATAAAAGCCAATAGACACAAAATGAGAAAATCTTGCTTGTCCCTCAGGGAGCTCACAGACTCTCTAAGATTCAGCTATGCATTCCCCAGGGACTTCAGGACACCCAAGTACAAGACTCTGACTGATAGACCAAGAGTGGAGCACATATAGTCCCAACCATAGAAGCCATTTCTTTTTCTTCTTCTTAGAAATAGAGAAGAAGAAGAAGAAGAAGAAGAAGAAGAAGAAGAAGAAGAAGAAGAAGAAGAAGAAGAAGAAGAAGAAGAAGAAGAAGAAGAACAACAACAACAACAACAACAACAACAACAACAACAACTTGGGCATATATATGAAAAAGGAACCTGTTATATGAATTATATTCCTGCTTTGGTTTAAATCTAAAAATGTCCCCTGAAGGCTCTTGTATGAAAGGCCGAGTTTCCAGCTAAACAGCTCTCTGCCCGAATGCCCTTTGCTGTGATGTCCTAACTCACCACAGTACCGGCACACAAAGTCACGTGACCACAGATTGGAACAATGAATGAAAACAAGTCCTGCCTCCTTTGAGTTGACATTCTCAGGTGTTCTGAAGCAGTTGGAAAAGTAACTAAAATAATCTTTTCTTGAGATCCTGTTTCCTTAGTAACATTACCAGAGCCACAGTCACTCATCACAGAAACCAGCTATTAGTTTCTTTGTCCATCCAGAAGTCTTCCCTGGAATACAGAGTCTGACCAAGCTATTTTATTGAAGTTTCTATCCACCAAGCCATCCCAGAGTTATTTCCTTAAAATCCAGACTATGTCACTGATCTACTTATAAACATCCGATGGTTCCTTGATACCAACATTTTAAAGTACAAACTCCATAATTTGGCAATGTTCTCCATGGCCAGAATCTCTGAAATTCCTCCCCAAATGTTGAAACACAAAACAAAAGAAAGATCTGAAGCCATCAGACCCCACGATCCCACGCTGCTCTGTAATTTCCTGTCAGCTCTCCCGTTGAGCTAACTCTCACATCCCTTTCCCTCCAGCTTGTGACCTAAACCTACTCACTCCCGTCTGGCGTGGGCACCATGGTTCATGGAACCTTCTGGAGGCACTCGAGGTCATTTCCCTCCCCTCGCAAGCACCTCCAGTAAATGCCATTCATATGCCTTCTCTAAATAGCTGTGGTAGAGAATC